TGACTGTAGCAGCACATTCCCTGTTATTCACCCTATGCACTGGCCTAAAGGAACTTTAGTGTTTCTAGTATTGGTAGGAATATAGATGCATCACAACTACTCGCTACTTTAAAGCTCATCTCTCATAAATTCCCATTCTGAAGTGAGGAATAGCTTGTGTCCCCTACTTTTTGACAGTTTTAAAGTGTTTAGGGCAGAATATAGATCCATCACAACTACTCGCTACTGTAAAGCTCATCTCTCATAAATTCCCATTCTGAAGTGAGGAATAGCTTGTGTCCCCTACTTTTTGACAGTTTTAAAGTGTTTAGGGCAGTTTTTAGGATGAAAACAGATATCTCTGAAGTGACTTGAGTTTGTTTAAAAAGAAGATATATTTCTATTTCTTATCTGGTAGCCAAACAATTTCCTTAAAAGAAAGAAATTACACCAGCTTAATACATCTAAAGGACCACAGTTGTTGCTCCTAACATAGACCAGTGGTTCTTAACCTTGGGTTACTTAGGTGTTTTTGGACTGCAACTCCCAGAAGCCTTCACCACCAGCTGTGCTGGCTGGGGTTTCTGGGAGTTGCAGTTCAAAAACACCTGGTTAAGAACCACTGACCTAGACAATAGCCATCCTACATTTATCATCACCTAGTAATTGACATTTAGTATAACCCTGTAATGCTCTTAATACACATAATGTTGCGTTTGATTGTAGTTTTCCAAAGGTGTGAAGAAGATATGCTGTCATACTGAAGGCAACTGCCTCACTCTACCTAATGACAAAGCTCATCCCATAAGAGAGGAAGCTTATTTGTCAAAAGTTAAGAGGTTTATTTAATTTGATTCAGATCAAAGGAAAATGTAATGTACTGTAAAGTGTCTTACAAACCAATTGTAACAATTCCTTATCACTTTTTCATTGATGTTAATACAATGCTTCTCATTTTATATCCATTACAAAATCCTGGAACTATTTATTTGGGGTTTTTTTTGTTCTCAATTTATTTTATTTATTTTCCAACTTTTACCCCGCCCATCTAGATTCAATGAATCTACTCTTAGAACTGCTTTAATTCAGTATATACTTCTATCTTTTTGGTGGCAATCACAGTGAACTCTGACGCTTCTTCATATTCAGTGAGTAAGGTCCGTGTTTCTGTGTGTGTCTCTGTGTGTGCATGCATGCATCTAAAACTGGTGATACTTCATATGCTGAATTTCCTTCAGTTGATTGACTTCCATTTGGCAGTGAAACTGCCTAGATAAAGCAAGTGGGGAAGGTAATCTAAAATTATGCCTAGTGCTCAGTGGGTTAAAGCAACTATTTTGCTTTTTAATAGGAATAATAACAACTTTCCTCAGACTGAAGAAGCTATTTGGATTAGTGAAATGTTCAACCTAAAAGGAAATAATTCCAGTTGTCATGACTGAGCTTACAGATGACTTCACCTGGATGACTCAGAATCTTCACAGATATAAAGGGAATAATGGTGGCATAATTACAAAGATGATTTGGAGAGCAATTTTGTTCTGCATTTAAAAGGAAGCCCTATGATTTTAAGTTAATTTTAATCCTAGTGACTTGAAATGAATTAAAACATCTTAAACAGATGGCAGGTCAGGCTATAAGCTACCTGCTTTCTTATGTTTGGGCAGAAATCACAATCCAGTCAAAGAAGAATTACAAATGTCAAGTTCTGAAATTCAAAGGAGGATGGAATATGGCTGAGTACTTATTTTAAACTGCTCTGCTATTTTTTTCCTTTGCAACGATTTCAATAGAGCCCAACAGCTGACCTTTCTGACACCATATTTATTAAGAATCTGCTGAATGCTTCATTAAAAGCAGTTTCTATGTCTCTCCGCTGAACGTAGCATTGTAGAATATTTGGGCATAGAATGACTACGACAGTCAATGGATATGCATTGGGTAGAAGACTTTATTCAAGTGACATACTTAACAAAGACAAAACAGGAACCAAATATTACAAAGGAAGTAACAGCCACTACCGAAGGATCACTAGATATAAGAGATGGGTGGGGTGGGGGAGGGGGAGGAAACCTGGTGGCTTTCAGAATGGGCTGCTACCGCTGCTGGTCCTAGATATCCAAGCCTGCAGTGACGGATGATGGGATTTGCAGTCCAACAAGAACTTCAGCCCTGATATAATCAAAGAGTTTATTCTAACATCAGTAAATTGACTTTTAATTGAGTTGTGGCTTCTACCGTAATTTACTCAATGAACATGCCCATTCATTGATGTAACTCAAGTGCAATTTTAAAAGAAACCAAACCCATTCAGAAACACATGTTACAGGTACATTTTTGAAAACATGTGCTTTATGAACTTCTATGGCCTTCTTTTTAATGCCATTGTATTGGTTTCAGTAGATTTGGTGGTAATTACTTCTTTTGAGTTTAATGCTTAAAAGAAAGCCAGCCAGAACAAAGACCATGCCAGCTAGCAGCGCAGCAGCAACAGTAAGTGGGATGAGTGGATCACCTTTCTCTGGCTGTACAGTCTTAACCAGGTCTGTAAATGAGAAACACAGGTTGAAATGGTTTGTTAGAAAATCTAAATATAGGTCTATCGGTATTGTGAAAGAAGCCATTCACATCAATATTTCCAGAGCAGGTCAGATCCGTATATTCATCCTTCATGGCATTGCTTGCCAACCTTGGGTAACCCAGGTGTTCTTGGACTGCAATTCCCAGAAGCCTTCCCCACCAGCTGTGCTGCCCAGAGTTTCTGGGAGTTGCAGCCCAAGAACACCTGAGTAAACCAAGGTTGAGTACTACTGCTTTATTGCACCATAAAGCAATGATTCACAGATGTCACTGTTTTTGTGGGCTTTCTTCCTCAACCAGTCAGGATGTCCAGGGGGTGGTGCTCTCTCCATAATCAGACCTGAGTGGAGGTGTTTTCATTCTGGTCTGCTTGTGGGTTATAAAAAGACCTATGAGGCCAGTAACAGCCATTCTGCTTCAGAGCTTTTCCCTCTCACTTCTCCTTGGTTTGTTTGTAAGCTGGTGTATGGGCAATGTTCAGTGTAGTGACAGGTTGTTGCTTTTGTTGTTTACAACTTTGTTTGGGACAACTTTGAAGTATGAGAACAGATGCAGGCAAAAAGGGTAGAGTTGGGCAGGTGCTTGACTTTCCCTGATAATTTCCCTTCAGAAGATGGGGCAGAGAGTCACTCCATGGGCTCAGCTCACAAGACTGCACATTCCACCTTATGGTGGCAAATGGAGCCACACCGTGCTGAATGCCCACATGGTTATCCCCTGTTCCAGCCACCTCAGTCCTCAATCAGTTAGCAGGTGGCTGATGGAGATCTATTCTCTATGTGTGTATGAGAGGACTCATGTAAATACCATGGCTAATTGACAAGGTCCCTGTATATTGCTGGCATGTATCCAGAACTCCTCAGTTCAATACAGCATGATGCTGGCCTGGTATCCTCCAAGTGTTGCCTCTTAGCACCTATCCAAGCCAAATGACCATAAGGGTATTTCAGGGTAGAGAAGCCTGGGATCTTGGTCTTCATCTCTTCCTAGACTGATAATCTTAGGGTCTGCCTATCAGTCTCCTTTCCCCCTTTGCCTCTTTTTCTGACTGTCTAAGGAGCAAACATGGTCTCTAAGGCACTTGTCTATCTAGTTAGAATTAGGCTTTAGGCTTTTCTGTCTTGTATGTCACTTTCTTACTAACATTCAGACCACAATGTACATGATTGCTTCTCTGTTTGTAACCCCAACTCTGTGTTCTTTGGAATGACACCATAACATTTCTTTGAGGAATAATAACAAGATATGACACTATAAAGCCAAGTTACCCTGTTTTCTTTTTTCCTTGTCTTCTTCCTGGAGCTTGATTGGTCCAACAACAACCTCCACCTTCTCCTGAGTTTCACTCACATCCCTCTTTCTTCTAGTTAAACATCCTTGGTAGCATCGGGAGGAGAGGTCATCTGCCTGGCACACGACTAGCTTGCACTGCAGATAAACTTCATTGTGTTGATTAAGAAACTTAAAAGAGTTGAACTGGAAGCGAGCTTCATTATTCCTTGGTGAATACAGACTTCTGTAGGTAGAGTCCTGTGTACATCTGAAAAATAAAATGAAATAAATCATAGTTATTCCGGGTGTATTTAGGTATATTTAGGGGATGGGAACAAACTCTGATACCTGGGAGGAGGCTGTTTGAGAGTACACTTGAAGTCATCCCTAGAGTTTTTGAGAGTAGTAGGAAAGGAATAGAATTAACTGGGCATCTGGGCAAAGGGAAAGGTCACTGGATCTCCCCCCCCTCTCTGTCACATACAAACACAATTTGTTGTAAAAACACAAGTGTGTTTTACTCTGGCAGGTACCAACTCTTTTAGGGTACCTGGGGATTAAGATATTAACTACAACCCAACACAGAATTTTTTTTTTATGTTATGTAAGGTTTATTGAAAGGTAACATGTACTGCAAGAAATGAGGACTCAAACCATGTCAACTCAACAATAGAAAAGAAGGGAATTGCCTTCATAGGGTGCAAATCAAAACAAGCTCGAGAAATAGAATCAGGAGTTATTTAAAGATTTTAAGAGTCAGTTAAAGACTTGGCTCTTTAGGCAGGCCTTTCCTCCAGCTAACACTTGATTTTTTCTCTCTTTAGTTGTCCTTTTTTTTCCCCTGTTGAACTTCTAAATTTGTTGATATAATTATGTGAGAAATAGTTGGAGAGGGTGATCCCTCATTGCTAGAGCAACAGTTGGGACTCTTCCATCCATTCTTGCTTTCAGGGTACGCATACAAAATTTGATTCCCCACAGATCTGAGGGCTTAGAGAGGTAGAAACCAGCCAGCTTCCAACTCAGCGTAGTATGCCTTCCCACAGAGAAGCAGAATCTCAGGACAGTCAGGAGAGGCTGCCAGTCTTCATGTCCATCCTTTCCACTGAAGTAGAAAGCAAAGAAGGGTACTTCTGGCTTAGAAATTAGGCTCCTCCTGGTGGACAGTGCACTGAAGTTTGTATGTCTTTAGTTTGAGTTCTAACATTGTCTGAAAAACACATAGGCTCTGTTCCTTTTAAGATGTGATACAGCCAATCTGCTATCTGATTTATCCTGACTTCTCCTCCAAAAACACTCTAGCCTCCACCCTTCCTGTTGCATTGCTCTCCACTCATGGTTAAACCAGGGAGCTAACCTAGCCCAAAAATCTTCATGTTAATGCCAGGATATTAATGTTCCATAGGATTTGATTCTGGATAAGGTTGCTGACTTTGCTTGTATCACAAAGACCTGCCTGAGAGAAGGGTGGGAAACGTGCTTCACTTAGCTCTGTTTAATAGATTATTCCATGACACAACAGGTGAGGACTGTAAGGCAAGAAGCTGGAGGGGTCATAATCTATGTATACACCGTCTCACTAACCAAGTGCTTCAACTAAAAGCAAGCTGCTGTGCCTGGATATCTGGGATAGTGTTGCTACCCACCCTTGCAAATAAAGCCCTGGTTTACTTGCCAGTACCCACCACAAAACAATGCAAGCAGATTTTCCAGCTATTGGAGGCAAAGGCACAAGCTATAAGAGGCAAATAAAAGATCTTTCAGCATCTAAGGAACCTGTGGTTCTACCTAGGTGCCATCTCTATCCTCTACATGTCGTCTGGGAAACAACAAGTTAATTATGGATCTGTGGCCATCAAGCACTAAACACAAGGTCAGCACAGTCACAGGATACCTGTAATGGCTACCAACATGAGGCCTCTCACAGTACAACCCATTCTGTCTAGCAGTCCATAACTCTCCTCTTCCTTCGTCTGCTTTTGTATGAGAATCTTTGGGTAATGATGAAGTGAAATAAGTAGGCTATTTCTTTTTATTTGGGAAATTTTAACCTGCAAGTGGTCTTTGTCATCCTATAATTCCTGCTTGATGTAATGAAATATGACGTGAAAAGGGAATCAAGCTGTCATTTCTATGTGTTAGTCAGAGAGAACAGCAACTCCTAATTTGCACATAACCTAAAGCCAACATGGAAGGAGATCCATCACCAGGTCTACCCTTTGTCTTGTAGTTGGTAATTGTTCTCTCATGCATATCGAACAGAAAGTAAACTATCTTGTCTAAAAAGGTCTTAATCTGAACTATACTTACCCATCCCTGATTAAGTCATAGGTCAAAGTTGTGAAGTTATCAGCGTATGGAGAAGATACACATGTTTCTACAAATAGTACCAGATTTGAGTCGGAACTGTAGAGAGTAGCTTGGGCATATAAATTCTGATTAAGTGCAACAAAATACGGAGACGCATAAACTGGAGAGGTGAAAGACGGTGATTGATAGAATGCAAGAGTCACGTTGTAATGGCCATATTGTCTCTCAACAATGTCAACCGCGTCTTGGGCAAGAAATGCTGTCTCCACAACTGTGTTCTCATTCATTTCACACATGACATGTAACTGAAAGTTTCTCTTCCTTGTAATGATATAACCTGAGACGAGTGTCCTGATGATGTTTGAGTATATTATTGTGTTATTATTTGTTTGCTAAAGGGTAAAAAAAAAGAAACACGAATTATGTCAGCAATATAAGTAACTCAGCTCTTGCCACATAAAATAGTCACCGTATTTGATAGTTTTAAAATATACTGCTATATTTCTGATTTTTAAAAGCTACTAAAAAGCCACCTTATCTAGTCTGAGTCTCTTTTACTGTACTTCTGTTAAAAAGATGGAAAAGAAATAAAAATGAAAACTGAGACATAACATTACAAAAATATAAAAGGAGAAGGAACCAATTACATAGAGAGAGAAATATGTGGAAATATGTGCCACATCACTTTAAGATAATCACACATTGAGATTAATGTAGGATGTTATTTTTCTCTCTAACAAACATTGAGCTGATTGATTTAAAAATAATATGAGTTTCATCATGGGAAGAGAGGGCATTTAAATACAGAAAATGGTTTACATGGGCAATTTTGCAGTGCAATGTTGGAAGGGGCTATTGCATTCATATTAAAGCATTTACATTTGGATTTTTTTGTTGTTTCAGCCAAATGCAGTGTCCTGAACTGAATTAGCTGGATTTAGGCTGGTTTGTATACGGTCCTTAGAGAAGCAAAATGAGCAAATTTGGCTCCAAGGGCTTTTTTGGTGGTTCAGTGATTCAAATATCTGATATAGATGAGGGGAGCAAGACTACAGGGAGGGAGTACATGAACAAGGCATTGGAAGAGACTAAAGGGAACTGAACTTTGTCCAGTGATAGCTCTAACACGCAATCGGAGGGCCTGTCCAGACTGGCTATTTTGGTGCTGGGCTATAAAGGGTCAGTTGAGGCTGGGAAGCAGAAGAATGTGCCATTTGACGTGCTCTTCCTCTCTGAATGGCAAATGACTCTTTGTAGCCCTATCCACAATGAATTAAGCACTTTCCCTGATGGTCTGCAGAGTGTCAAGGGAAGTGATATTTTTATTTATGTAATATCTGCTAGATGCGATAAATCACTTTCTTTAAATTTTGTAAAAAAAAATTATTTCCCTTTCTGTATATTGCTGATTGAGACACTGTCCACATCCGAAGGTTCGATAATATACAGATAGGCAAATAATTTAGGGGGGAAAATGAAGTGATTCATTACAAAAAATAATAATTTTATTTCCTCTGATCTTCCGCAGATGATCAGGAGAAGGATTAAATTTCTGATATCCTTCAGGATACTGAAATTGACACCGGAAGGAGCTGCAAGGTTCTAGTTTAGTCAGTTTCAAGCAATCACATTAACTGGGAACAGACTAAACTGGAGCCCTCCAACAGGTACTAAAACGGAACAATCCTCTGTCGGGTTCAAAAAGGAACAGGTTGCAGAAAATTGGTCCACTTCAGTGACATCCATGCTAGGATGTTGGAAAAAAGAGTGGGCCAACCCAACCTGTCAGTGCACTGAACAGTGGGGCAAATGCCCATGTGGACAGCCTTTGATGCTAGAATTTCAGTTCAGTCACACTTTAAAGTTTCACAGTGAGCACATCCTTGATGCAAGATGTCTGAAAATTCATACATTTACTCCTCTCCTTGGGGTCTATTGTGTGACCAGATTTAATGTGCAAAACTTAAAGCTTATAGGCATTTTGGTTTTCTAAGGCAAGTGGGCAGCAATCTGAATTTACAAATCAATTTGGATCCAAGGCAGAAACCAAATGGGCAGGATCTGGATGACCATAGACCAAATTGGCATCCAATGTGTCCGTCTGGATTCCAAACCAAAGGATCAGGTGTAGCTCTAGTGTAAATCCTGAAAAGCTTATATCTTTTTAGTAGTTCTATGTGAACCTGAGCGAGTAGGTATTTAACACCTTATGCTTTCTGGATCAAATTTCCCCACTCCTACTTAGATATGATTAAAAACTGTGCTCTGCATCATACTTAAAGCTAACAAAGCTATGCTTTGGCCCAGTATCTGAAATTAATTTGCTGATTCTGATAAAATGAATTATTTATTAACATTAACTGATTAAGGCTAATTTCTCATAACCACATTTCAGATGAGCTGGAGAGCAGAGAGCATTCATTTCCTCAGGCTGATGCTCACTATCTTTTCTGGATTAAATGAAGCCCAGGCTGAAATCTTGTTGCACAACTCCAACAACAGGATTTGCACAATAGGAATCATGACATCAGCAGTGGCATATTACTGCTGATTAAAGTCCTTTTTCCATTTCGAGGTGCATATCGATTGCACACAACACAGTAAGGGTCCACACATCCCAAAATTGCAAAGGAAGCCTTTTATCAGTGGCAACTTGCCAATATTGATGACAACATTCCTGTTACACAGGGAGATTCTACCCAACAGGATTTCAGCCATAGCCTTACATCTTTGTTGGTTCATCAATTGCACCAATCCTTCTCCTATTTAAAAAAGGTGGTTATGTCATAAAGGGTGTAACAGTTGCTAAAAGTATAAAATTCTCACCTGTCTCACTGTGCCGCAGCCACTAAATGGTATATTGAAAATAATATAGGATTGTGAAATCTGAGATGCACATGTTGGATCTGAAGAATTCAGGTACAGATCCGACTCCTTATAACCTAGTGACTGAATATAGGCTATGCTGATGCGTGCAACCATGTATTCTCCAGAACACGAGACTGCTAAATGATGATAAATAGAAATGTTAAAGAATGTAAAGCAAATACATTTCAATGTTAACCCATTTTAGTTCCTGGCTTTGCTTGTGGTTCATTTTCAGTGGATTAGGAAGGGTTTATGGTGCCTCTTTTGATAGTACATAAACAAGCACCTCCTGCCTTTTCAGGAAGCAGGAGAGCTGTGCATTTTGCTGCATGGTAAGGGATATCTGATTGATCAACACAGCAAGAAGGTGGTTGGAGTTTATGAGGAGGCTGTGATCAAATTAAGGCACCATATTGTTAGAATTTGCAGTATTTGATTGGACAAGGCCATTTCTGTGTTTCCTTTTAAGATGAAGGCTTGGGATGTACCCAGACAACCTAAAATAGCAAAATTAGAGTAGTAGTGTCCCACAGTTGATGATTAAAATTATGTACTTCTATACTCACTTTCTTTTAAGAAGAGCCCGTTAATTCTTTCGCTTCTTCTGCTGGA